CTCACAGGCTTTTAAGACCCCAGACACTACTCACCAAGGTAGAATGTAGAGCATTATCTTTATAAGTAGTGTCATACCAATTGAGCTAGATGTTCCCCGAGACCATGGTCCCCAGAGCCCTCAGTCCAGCAACTCAGTCCCTCGGGGAGTTTGGATCTGTCCATGGGGGGGCCCTACCTTTTGTTTGGCAGCTCATAGTGGGAGCAGGAATGGGTATTTATAGTGCATTAAAATCTGGCAGAAATCACCCCAGAGGGCCCCTGAAATTTTCCCATATTTTCTCCTAGGTTACTTTCTCCCCAGTTCCTATTAGAGTGAAAAATAGCCTGCATAAGACATGAATGTTTCCCTCAAAAACAATTGTTTTCAGAAAACTGAGAAAAGTTGCTCAGAGCTTGTTCAACCATTCTGTGAGCTGATTAGGGAAAGAATACTTTGATTTTATTACTTGTATACTTTGTACACGTTGGGAGGAGAGAACAAAGAAGATTCCATCAAAGGATTGGAGTATTTTGCCCTGTTTGCTTCATGCCTCCAGGTTTTTAAACAGCTTGGGATTGTGTGTGTCTGTGGTTACACGCTTGGCACTTGCCCCCCATGGCATGTTTCAGCCTTTCTGTGTGCGCGCCTCTGCCCCAACCCTCCTCCAAGTGAGGGTGCCCATAGCCCATGCGAAGGAGCCAACTCCAGAGAGCTTTGTTGCTAAGTGACCCTTGGCCAGGATACAGAACACTTGCACCAGAAAGCAGCATGCTCCGGTGCCTTGCAGGCCACTTTCCCACAGGTGTCAATACTGAGGGTATCAGCCTCTGGGTACTACCTGGTAGGGAGTGAGGGGTACTTCCATCCCACTTTCAATCTCATTGTGCTAACTAGGAAGCATTTCAGAGGCTTGTTTTGCTCACCTTTGGCATAAATGATTAAAGCAAGCCAGTTTAAGCTGACTTTAACCGAGGACTATTCTCCAGAAATGTAGGCCCAAGATGATTTGATCTCTTGGTTTTCCAAGAAAAGCAGGAAATCCAGATCTTTATGTGAATTCTACAAATTATGAAATGTTGCAATTAATTAAAACACTTGTAAACACTGCTTGTATTAAACAGGCACCAAAAACCAAACCTGTTTCTGTCGAGTCAATTCCAACTCGTAGGACAGAGCAGAACTGCCCCATAAGGTTTCCTAGGCTGTAATCTATACAGAAGCAGACTGCCACATTTTTCTCCTGCAGAATGGCTGGTAGTTCAAATATCAACCTTTTGGTCAGCAGCTGAGCGCTTACCCATTGCAGCACCAGGGCTTCTTCAAACAGTCCCAGCCAAAAACCCACTGCCATAGAGCTGATTCTGACTCATAGCAACCATGTAGGACACAGTAAAACTGCCCTATAGGGTTTCCAAGGAGCAGCTGTTCGATTCGAACTGCTGACCTTTTGGTTAGCCGCCAAGCTCTTAACCACTGTGCCACCAGCGCTCCCAAACAGTCCCACAGGTCCCTAATTTGCAATCTCTGAAGGTAAGAGAATAGGCTACAGGTGCTGTCATTCCTTAACTGACATCTAGGAGGCCACACATCAAGAAAACCTATTAATAATGTGAAGAGGAGCCACTGGAAAAACTTCAGCCCTCCTTGCTCACCAGAGAATCCACATAGTATAAAATTCTCCTATTTTGTGCTCTTTCCTGGCTCTCCCAATCGGCTTTGCACCTGCTGCTGGCCCTGCTCATTCCCACCCCAGCACACCACCTTCCATTTTGATACACTGCTTCCCCTTCTTGACCTCAGAAGCTTCCCTGGACTCTGCTCCCCAGACCATGACCTAACATCCTCCTGCTACCCTCCTGGCCCCTTGGAAGCCCCCAAGCTCTCTGCTGCTTGCCTGGCCTCCACCAGGGCAGCCTGGTGGACAAAGGATAGAGAGAACCGGTTTATTTAGAGTAAAGCCACCACTCGTTTTAATGGTAGCCTGGAGTAATGAGTATTTGTAAACCACATGAAATGTATCAAACTGTATACATAGTCATCATTTTCTTTTATTATTACATCTTCTTCTGAGACAGAGCAGGCCTGTAATCGTTAAGGTTGTGTGTCAACTTGGCTAGGCCATGATCCTCAGTGATTTGGCAGTTATTATGTAGTTTGGCAGTTGTATAATGATATGATCACCTCCATGATGAGATTTGATATAATGTGATCACCTCCATGATGGGATCTGCTGTGAGTAGCCAATCAGTTGAAAGGGAGTTTCCTTTGGGGTGTGGCCTTTATCCCACGTAAGTGGACTTTCTGGCAAGGCTTGTGGTAAGAATGCTGAATGCCCAGGGGCTCCAGAAGGATCTAGCCCTCCAGAGAAAATGGCAGTGGAGGCAACTAGCATCCACTGCTCTAAAGCCACAGGAAACACACCAACGTGGAAGACGGTGTGACATACTCTGAAGCATCAGGAGATGGTGTCTTTGGCACAGACTGTAATGCATTCAGGAGCCCTGGTGGTGCAGTGTGAAGAGCTCGACCACTAACCAAATGTCAGCAGTTCAAATCTACCAGCTGCTTCTTGGAAACCCTTTGGGGCAGTTCTACTCTGCCCTATTGGGTCACTATGAGTCGGAACTGACTCTATGGCAATGGATTTGGGTTATTTTGTTTTTTGTTTTATGGTGCATTCAGAGGGCCGTGGCAGCAGTGGAGCACATGTCAGTAAAGGGGGCTGGGGATGAGGAGACAGAAAAATGGCAGACACCATGCTAATTTGATGAAGGGATATATGCAACAACCCCTAGAGAATCTTCCAGATATAACTGGGAGCAATTCTGAGATGAAAATATTGCAGTAGCAGGTGGGTAAAGAAGCAGAGAGATACTGCATATTCCTGTTAATGTGGTCCTACCTTTACCTCCAGTCTACTTAACAAAACCAAAACCAAACCCATTGCCATCGAGTCAATTCTGCTCATAGTGACCCAATAGGACAAAGTAGAACTGCCCCATAGTGTTTCCAAGGAGAGGCTGTTGGATTCGAACTGGTAACCTTTTGGTTAGCAGCCAAGCTTTTAACCACTGTGCCACCAAGTCTCCTAGACTGGGAAAATATAGGTTTAAAGTGCATCTTTATGAATTTTACTGTATATTCCATATTGTTTTTAATTTCATGAGTTCATTTATTCACTCAACAAATATTTATTATGCCCCTGATATGGTTTTATAATTCACAAAGCCATCAGCAACACATGAGTATACCAATTCCACTATAACTTCACAACATTAAAAACAAACAACAACAACAAAAAAATCCAATTGTCATGGTGACCCCATGTGTTTCAGAGCAGAACTGTGTTCCATATGGTTTTCAATGGCTATGACTTTTGGAAGTAGATTTCCTGGCGTTTCTTTTAAGGCACCACTGGGTAGATTTGAACCTCCAACCTTTCAGTTAGTAGCCAAGTGCTTAACCATTTGCACCACCCAGGACTCCTTCACCAACATAGGATATTATTTTGAATGTCATTAATTCAGTAAACGTGAAATAATGCCTCAAAAGTAAGGACTAGACAATAACTTTGTTCTAATTTCAGAAACATATTTATTTAAACATTTTAAAAATCAACAACAATTAAACTGCATTTCATTATCCATTGAACAAATTACCTTTACTGAAATGTCAAAATTACACAACTGTAGGACTGTCACTTAATATCAGGAATGGATAGGTGCCACTACCTTTCTCCTGGCCTCTATTCTCTCCAACAACCAGGTCTGGTCACAGTCTGAGGGCTCTGCACCATTCCTCTCCTGCATTGCTAGTGAGAACTTTGAGCAAAGGGATGGCTGACTTTAAAGCATGAAAAGTAGACTGTATTAAGCAAGGGTGATGTCTGCTAGGGAATGAAGAAGAAACCACCTATCTTTGTTTTTTTCTGAATAGTCCAAAAAAACTACATCTATCCCCTTATCAAGATATCTCTGAATGTCGTGATGCTGAAATAAATGCTTTATCTCCAGCCCCTGGAAGCTTCCACCATCCTCTGCCTAATTCTGTCTCTGTTTTTATTCTAAACCACCAGGGCCTTCCCACAGCAGGAATATCTTGCAGTCCACCTGCAATCGTCCTTACTGGGGATGCCAGCTCACCAGAAGGAGATATTGACAAAAACCTGGCCAACAGGTACATGTCCCATGTGCCTAATCCTTTTGCTTAAAGAACAATATGTTCTAGAACATGGGGGTCAAACAGCTATATACTTTTTTATAAATCTTTACTTCTTTCTTGTATAATTTTATTGATGAAAATACAGTCAATCAGGTTTTCAAAATGGGAGAGAGAACTTCGGATTTTTCCCCCAAATTATTTTTCATTTCCTAGGTTTGGCCCTTTGTATCTGCTAGCCTTTAAGAAAAGCAAAAACCATAGCAGAGTTGTCTCCCAGATATTTGCAGACAGACCTGAAAGATGTGAGTCTTCGCTGTAGAATCCTGCTCCTGGTCAAAGTAGGGTCTGTGGGGAAGAAGATCTCTTGGAAGGGACATTGGCCGACATGCATGGGATTGTCACTGCATTGGTTTTTAGCAGCACTAGCCAATGCATAATCAAGCTAGAGTGAAGTTATCAAAGTATAATTTCCAAAGAGTTAAAAAGATAATTGTCATGCAAACATATAGTGAGCACGTGTCAAAAATTTATTTAACTCATTAGTGAGAGAACCAGCAGGATAACAAAGCCAGTTGAATACAAGAAATGTATATATGCATATAATCAGTGGTCAGGAAAAGAATACTGGAATAACATTGTTAATTTAGATGTAAAATAGGTCAATGAAACTATAATTTTGTGGTTATCTTTCCTCCTGCACAGAAGTCATCTGCATCTGTACCAGACAAGAATCATTTACATCATAAGAGCTTTTTTACAAGTTAGACGTTAACTCAGAGTCTGTGTCTTAATAAATAGTAAATAAGAAGTCAGAGTTACATCTCTTTAGAGCAGTAGTTTGCAAACTTTCCCATCCATCAGAATCACTTGGAGGGCTTTTGAACCACAGATTGCTGGTCCCCACCCCGAGAGTTTCTGATAGGTCTGGGGTTATTGTTGTTAGCTGCCCTTAAGTTGGCCATGACTCATGGCAACCCCACGTACAACGAATGAAACGCTGCCTGGTCCTGTGCCATCCCCATGATGTGTTGCGGATTCTTCTACTGTTATCTGTAGGGTTTTCACTGGCTGATTTTTGGAAGTAGATCTTGAGGCCTTTCTTCCTAGTCTGTTTTAGTTTGGAAGCTCTGCTGAATTCTGTATCACAGCATCATAGCAACATGCAAGCCTCCACTGATAGAGGGGTGGTGGCTGCACTTGAGGTGCATTGGCAGGGAGTTGAACCCAGGTCTCCTGCCTGGAAAGGGAGAATTCTACCACTGAACCTCAACTGCCCTCTAGGCCTGAGAATTTGTATTTCTGACAAGTTCCCATGTTGAGGGTCAGGTGACCCTTACATGAACTTGGAAGTATGAGTTTGAAAGGATATACAGATGTCTTTTTGCCTTATTTCCAAGTTTCAACAAATTTTCTTACCAAGGTGACTCTGTTCTATCTTTTAGAGCTCACAGTCCACACAGGAGGCTTTCTCACCGACACCTGAAGGCTTCCACAGCTTCACTGACTTCTGTGGGTGAGGACTAGACCAATTAATCTTATTTCTGCAACCAGAAAGTGTATTTGAGTAGGAAGACAGTGGTCTGGCAGCTTGGCTGAGCTTGGGCCCCTTGCCTTCTCCTGCTCCTGAGGCAGGCCCATGCCTATGAGTCCAGCAGGGCAAAGTAGATCAGCCCTTCCGTGTTTGAGCCCAGAACAAGTATGGTATCTAATTTCAATTTCTTTTGGCAAAAAAAACCAGGCGTGAAGAAGATGAGGGAGTCAAAGAGAGACATGAAATACAGAATAGCTGGTGAGGTTCAATTCAGGGGCTCAGGTGGCAGAGCCCTTCACCTCCAGTAGAAAGACACATATCTAAGCAGGAGTGTGCCAAGTACAAGGCTGGCTGCCCCATTACCCACTCATTCCCCAAATGTTTTCTCAGGGCCTGCACTGTGCCAGCCACTGGGACCATAGATGTGATACAGACTTGGTCCCTGCCTTCAAGAAGCTCATAATCTACAAGGAGCCTGAGAAGTAGACAGATATGTATTGTAAGGGCCTTCACAGAAGTGCTGGACCCTGGTGGCACAGTGGTTAAGCATTCATCTGCTAACCAAAAGATCGGCAGTTTGAATCTACCAGCCGCACCTTGGAAACCCTATGGGACAGTTCTACTCTGTCCTATAGGGTTGCTATGAGTTGGAATCAACTTGACACCGATGGGTTTTGTTTATGGGTTCACAGAAGTGCTAGGGAAACTGAGGGAAGAAGGGGGCTGATTCTCTCGGGGGTGGGGGGTGGGTAGGTGTTCTGGAAGGGATGGTATTTGAATCCTTAGAGAGTTGGACAGATAGACATGAGGGAGGAAAGGCATTCCAGATGGAAGAAGCAACCTGATAGAGCAGCAGAGCCACAGCCTAGCACTCTTGGTAACTGAATATCCTGCCATTTATATTAGTCAGTACTCTTTCAATGATAGAAACTCAACTCAAACTATCTTCTACCAAAAAAACTAAAACTGAGTAAAAGCCAGGGGCTGTGGTTTCAGGTAATGCTGGATCCAGGTGCTCAAACTGGGTTTTAGTAATTGTCCCATTCCTTCTCTCAAGTTTGCTTTTTTACGTGTTAGCTTTCTTCTTGGGCAGGCTCTTCAAACATGGTGGCAAATCACTACCAGCAACTCCAGGTTTACATCCCGTCAGTAGAAAGAGAGTTCTTCTTCCCTAATATACATCACAAAATTCCCAGGATTGGCCTTCACTGGACTTACATGGCTATCCCTGAACCAATCACTGTGCTGAAGGAATTGAATTTATTGACTGGCCAAGACTGGTACACGTTCCCACTCCTGGCATGGGGGTGAGGTGGGAAGGAATTAGCTCCTCCCTAACTAATACAATTGAGAGTCAGAGGGGCTTCCCCCAAGGAAAAGTTAGGAGCTACTCTCTGAAAAATGGGGAGTAGAAGCTGGGGAGGCAGAAAATCAGAGCTGACTACAGAGTGGCTGGATCAGGGGGGTCTAGGAAGGACTATGTGGGGCAGGGCCCAGTTTGAAGTTTGGATGTTACACTGACGACCACGAACAACCTTGATGAGATGAGGCAGGGGAATGGCATGGTCAGATACAGCTCTTAGAGAGGTCACTCTGATAGGCAGTGAAGAGTGGAATGGAGGGAATAGCCTGGAGGCAGGTGAACTTATGAGGTGGCTGATATAATTGTTCAGGTAAGAGCTAATGAGCAAGAATGGAAATAAGGGGGCAGGTTCCAGAGATAGTGATGAGGTAAATGCCAGGACTTGGTCAGTTGGTTGGACATAGAGGGAGTGAGGAAGAGGGAGGAGTGTGGAGTAACTCCCATGTTTCTGAGCAGCTGGGTGAGAAGTGGTGTCCTTTACCCAAAGAGGGGCTGCTGGAGCAGGGGAGGTTTTGGAGAAGGATAGGGGTAAACAATGTGAGTGGGGGAAAAAAGGGAAGGAAAGTAGCCACGGGATTGTGTCTGTGGCCCATGATTTTTGGAATGCCCTCTTTATCCACACACCTTAAGTTCACCAGCTTGTTAAAGAAACAGACTCAAAGTAAGAACACACTAGCGGGGGTGGATAGCATGCAGGTGGATAGCATGCTGGATGACCTTCCTTTAAAGACACAAAATTCAGTGCAGTATGGAAGCCTGTGGTAGCTTCATGGCATTTGTGACAGAGGACATGCTGTGGCCACAGGCTAAAGATCAGATGGGCAAGGCCTACTGAGGAAGCCACCTCCTGTCTGCATGCAATCTGTCTGTGGAGGGGCATGGCCAGGGTTTGGCTGCTGAGTCTGCTCTGGGCAGCATCCCTATGCTGAGGTTGGAGTGGCAGGGCCTCTCAGCCTGGGGCCAAGGATTCAAGGACTCTTACACTGAGCTCACCTCCCTCTGCAGACCCTGCGGGGCACATCATTGATCTGGTAAATGACCAGCTTCCAGATATAAGCATCTCAGAGGAAGACAAGAAGAAAAACCTGGCACTGCTGGAAGAAGCCAAGACAGTGAGTGAGCGATTCCTGACACGCCGAGGGAGGAAGTCCAGGAGCAGCCCAGGAGACTCCCCGTCAGGTAGGGCAGGGCCAGGATGGCTGACCTGAGCCACTCCAAGGCTGGGGTGGGGGTGCAGGGGAAGCACTTGGCTCCAGTTGTAGTGAGAGCCTAGCTTCCAAGGGGGTTGCTTTTGACTTGCCTGCCTCCAGGTGTCTGGGCCCCAAGAGGAGTAAGCCATCTAGAGAGGATCCTGAGAGGAAAGGTATCTTGCCTAGTTTCAGAAATGCCTATACAACTCTAGCTGAGAAAGCTTTCCTACTTTTTGTTCTTTGGCCCTGAAGATGACATTTGTAGTCTCATGTTTTGCAAAGAAGTATCAACCCATTTGATAGCTATGAACTTGAACACCCCACCCCACCCACCACCGCTGCCAGCTTCCACATACCTTAATCCTTCTCTGTGATGCCCATACACACAGACTTCTGGGCTACCCTGCACGGATGGGTTCTGTGTGACAGCCCTACCTTCCCCAGGGAACCCTGCTCTCCCGGACACCTCCTCAGTTAGCAAAGGTCTGAAGTGACCATCACTGGGCTACCTCTCCCTAATCTTTAACTGTGGATCCTGGGAAGGATCCTAGGTACTGTACGGAGTGAGGAGGGCTCTTTCAGGTATTTCTGAGTTAGATGGAAAATTTTCCTGGGCCCTGAAATCCTCCTGCTACCCCTATGGCTAGAGTGACTCTTCTTTCTAAGGAAAAGTTGGAGCAGGTTTTAGACAAGTCTGTACCTAGGAGGGAAAAAGGAGCATTTGAAATCAGGGCCATCCTGAGAAGTCCAGTAGGAGGTGCAGTCTTTGAAGCTGTGCATTACAAACAATGCTAGGTCCTCAGTTTCTGCAAGGTGCTTGGAGGTCAGGCCAGGCAGGCTGAGGAGTGCCAGCCCCCTTCACCCTTCTGAATGACTTGAGTGCCCCCTTTTTTGGGCATGCAGCAGGGAGGGGTTGGGCTATTGTAGGAGGAACCTTGTATGGCAGTCAGGAATCAGCCACTGATCCCAATTAGGCAGATACAGTTCCCAGGGGTCAGAAATATCTGAAAGGTTTTTGTTAGGTTGAAGTCCTAAACTATCATGAATGCCAGCCAGTTTGTATCTTGTCTCCTCAGCCGTTTCCCCGAACCTCAGCCCTGGACCTTCCCCTGCATCCTCTCGGAGCAACTCACTCACAGTCCCCATCCCTCCAGGTGAGGTCCAGCCCCTGCAAGGTAAGGTCTAACCCTGCCAGGCATTTCCTGCCCCGGCTTCTCCCTTTGGATGGTGGCTTAGCCCTTCCCCTTGACTGACCAAGATGCCTCCCCACCACCTTCCCTCTATTCTGCAGGCTTACCATTCAGGACCCCTATTCAGCCCCAGAGGAGGCAGATGTACTTTCTTTTGGGGTTTGGGAGGTAGTGTAGGGAGGCAGGCCTAGCCTAGGATGGCCAGACTGGGTGAGGATGGGGGCAATGTTATAGGAAGGGGAGGTATGACAGGCTCTTTCTCTGCCCAGCAGGTCCAGAGAGGACCCAAAGAGAAGTCCAGCACAGAGCTTACTTGGAAAGCCTACTGGACACTCTTTGCCTTTTGGTTTCTTATCTCATTAGGCTGTATACAGGGCCACACCCTTGGGCTAGGAGGGGAAAGGACAGGGTGCTAGGGGGAGCAGCCTGTGCTTGTCAGTGTTGTGGGACAAGCTCAGGCTCAGATCAGGCATCTGAGCTTCAAATCCCAGTGCAGATGCTTTCCAGCTGCATAGTCCTGTAGGGTCACTATGAGTTGGAATTGACTCCACAGCAACAGGTTTTTAGGCTTGCCTCAGTTTCCCCATATGGTTTCTGTGAGGATTAAATGAGAGCCCACCACCGAACCTGGCACAGGGGAGGGAGGTAATAAACAAATGGTGGCGTTACTGCTTCCCAGGCCTAGATTGCTAAGAAGGACGTTCTGGGGAGGGACAGCTGAGGGCCTAGGGTGCTGGACAACACTCACCAGTATCTGGACCATTTCAGGTTTGGATGCATGCAGTGGCCCACAGACCCCTCTACCCGGAGCACCACCACAGGTAACAGGGGCCCCACTCAGGGTTTCTATGCCAATGGATTTCTCTCCTAGTATCAGAAGGCCTCCCCATGGCCTACTTGAGTTGAGGGTACTGGATAAGGGAGGAATTTATACCACTGCTAGGGGCCTTCTTGGGGGTATTTCAAGAGGAAATATAGTCTCTTTCTGTTGCTGACTGACTTGTGTGTACTTTCACCAGCAGAAGGAGGATGAGGCCGAAGTCTCTTCACCTCACCTTGGAGAGTCTGTGAGTTTGAGCTTTGCCCTACTAGGGTGATTTGGGTGTGGGAGCCATAGTCCCCTGGAAGTCTGGGCTGATCCCTGAACAGCCTGCAAGTATGTATAAGTGGAGGTCGAGGCTGGGAGATGCTGGGGAAACTGTCAGATTCCTCTGCTTTATCATGACTGGAAGTCTGAGGTGGAGGGGCTAGGGAGGCAGGATTCAGTTGGGGTGACCTCCATGGAAGTTCCTGCCCTTGCTCTGCACCCCCTAGCCAGACTATTGGTTAGTGAGAAGAGGGACCTCTAGGCCCAACAGCCAGACAAGACTGCTGTTCTTGTCAGCTCAAGTGAAAACTGCAACAAAGCTCAAGACCCTGGTTGGGATTCTTACTGGGAGCAGCCAGGAAAACCCTTTCTTTACAGGGGCCCCACACCTGGTCAGAGCTGAGGTGCTCAAGGTAGTGTCAAGGGTACTGTTAGAACACAGTCTCACCCAGAGCTGGACCTAGGATAAAAGCTCTGGAAACGTTTCAGTGCACTCATAAACAGCTACTCAAATACCCAGATACAGACATATATGCTCCTCACAAAGCAAATTTCCCTTGGGGAGCAAAAGTAGAGTGCAGAATCTTAGAACTTCTGAGCAGTTAAGATACTACCTTTGCAAGAATCATCTCATCCAATGATTCTTTCTTTCTTCATTTATTTAATTGTACTTTAGATGAAGGTTTACAGAACAAATAGTTTCTCATTAAATAGTACACATATTGTTTTATGACAATGGTTAACAACCCGACAACATGTCATCACTGTCCCTTCTCAACCTTAGGTTCCCTATTACCAGCTTTCCTGTCCTCTCCTGCCTTCTAGTCCTTGTCCCTGGACTGTTGTGCCCCATTAGTCTCGTTTTGTTTTATGAGGCTGTCAAATCTTTGGCTGAATGGTGAATCTCGGGAGTGACTTCATTACTAAGTTAAAAGGGTGTCCGGGGGTCATCCAATGATTCTTAGCCTCTTTTGGATCATTGAATGCTTTGACAATTTTGTGAAGGCTGTGGATTCTTTTCCCAGAAATACACACACACACACCCACACACACACACATTTGCATACAATTTCAGAGGGTTCACAAATTTGATGGGAAATCCAAGTCCCAAAGAGTTAAGGGCCTTTCTAGGCAGAGCTACAACTAAAATCTGGGGCGGTTGAGTTGGGGCCAAGCTTGTGACTTCCTGGGCTGCCCTCCACTCCAGTCTTCTCCTCAGCTTCTAGCCTTTGGGAAGTTTGTGGCTGGTTTTGGATTGCAAGTCCCATTGCCTTCTCTGTTTTACAAACTTCAGGCTTGTTTGCTAACTCAGACCTGATTGAGAAACCTTCCCCTCCCACCTAGCCCACCTCCCCCGCCCCCACATCCAAATGGGCTCCTTAGCAAGGTTTGTGGGAACAGAGGCCCCACATCAGAAGTGACCCTCCCTATCTTCTCCCCAAGCTGCCTCCAGAGTCCTAGCTCTATCTTGTCTCTTTCAGAATGTTCCCAAAGGGCTAGCTGACCAGAAGCAGAATGACCAGAGGAAAGTGTCTCAGGGCAGGCTGGCTCCTTGCTCCCCCATGGTTGAGAAGTCCAAAGAGACTGCAGTAGAACAAAAGGAAAACTTCGATCCCCTCCAGCACCCCATGACCACACCCAAGGGCTCAGCTCCTGGCACAGGCAGTGTCGGGAAAATGGCCCTGAACAGCCCCCAGCCGGGCCCTGTGGAGAGTGAGCTGGGGAAGCAGCTCCTGAAGACAGCCAGGGACGGTGACCCTCTGCCGAGAAGTCCAGCCCTGGGCTCTGGAGGGGTGATCCCCCTCTCCCCTCAGGGGAAGGGTTCATCTGGGGAGCTGACAGGGCCCAAGGCTGGCTCCAAAGCTGAGCTGTGGCCCCCGGTTTCCCGGCCCCCCCTGCTGCGGGGGGTCTCCAGGGACAGTGGCCATGAAGAACTCAGCCCCCGGCTACAGAAAGTGCTTGCCAAGCTGCCACTGGCGGAGGAAGAGAAGCGTTTTTCAGGCAAAGCCAGCAGCAAGCTGGCCAAAGTGCCTGGGCTCAAAGACTTTCAGATACAAGTGCAGCCTGTGAGGATGCAGAAACTAACCAAGCTCCGTGAGGTGAGTTCCTGGGGGCTAGGTGGTGTGTGTTCCAGGGCCCCCTGGGCTGAAAGGCCTCTGGGCTAAGACTGGGGCCTTGGGCAGGGCAGCTCTGGCCTGGACTTGGGCCTTGCAGGACCGTAAACTTCTCCACCCTGAGAAATCAGGCCCAGTTGTATAGTTGTCTTCTTAAACACCAGATTCAGGTGCTTTTTACACAAGTTACTAGGGAGAGGTCAGTCTGGGATATAGTAGCCATACAAAGCCACGTTTCAAGCGGAAAGTGGGTTTGTGGAAGACACATGGGCCCCTCAGTCTTGGGCTATTTCCTTCCTCCAGCTGGAGCTGGCAGTTCATTAACAGGAACCCCTTGATGGAGTGCCTTGTCACTCCTAGGACTGGGCCAGGCAAGGATGAAATAGCTTTTCCTTTATAATGCCCAAACTTTCCTTTCTGTGCCTATTAACAAAGGGTCTCAAGTCCATCCACAAGTATAATGATGGCCATCAGGGGCTGCTCCTCCTGTGTTAAATTTCTTCTGACTTCTATAGTGCCCCCACTTTCATTGGCCATCAAACCAGGCACAGTGGTCATTTGTGGGGCTGCCACCCTGTGCGGGAGGAGACTGGTGGTATCCAGAGATGTAGGGGAGAGAGCCCTGAGTATGTGAGGGAAAGAAGGGGTTAACAGGACAAGGCAATTTGGACTCTTCTCTTCCCCAGAAGGCCAACTCAGGCTACAGGCCAAGGCAACTGGAACCCAGTAGTGTGGGACCCGGGGCCCCCACAGGAGGAGCTAGACAAGGCTCTCCTGGCTGCCCTACAGAGGGTCCACAGGGCAGGGAAGGAAAAGAGGCACCGGATAGCGTTCAAGCACCAGGGAGAGGATTTCTGTGACAGCAGGGATGCATTCAGACTCTGGCTGTTGCTCTATTCAGAAACCTCCCATGATGCTGAGTTGGAGGCTCAGGGGGAGCTGAGGCCTGGCCACTGAATTTAAAATTTTATTCAGAAAACTTCACCCAGCCAGAAGGACCCAGCTAACTAGTAGATCAGCACAGGGCCTGTTGGGGCTGCCCGTGGTGGGCCACAGTCCCAGATCTCTGGTGAAGGTAGGGCCAAGGAACCCGACTGCCAGGGATTTGCCCCATGGGCCCCTGGGCATCAGAGGCCAGGCCTAGGCAACAGATACTGCCACACCCCAGAGGTTTCTCTCACCCAGCAAAGAAGGTTTCAGCTCTTCACTAACTACTACCCTGACAACTGAGCATGCCTTCCCACCCCCAATCCAGTATCTGAGAGCTGATTGCCTGTGGGCCACTGGCTCTCTAAGGAAATACCTAAACCACCCTGGCTGTGACTTCCACGGGGGCTATGGGCATCCTCTGCTGGCCTCTTCCTTTCTCTCTTTACCTGGGTGCAATACCACTCAAGTTGCCTCTGCTATACAGGAGACTATAAAAATCCACTTGCAGCACAAGTCACAAGGAGTGAGAAGCTCTGTCAGGCATTTCCCCTTGAGGACCCTGGTCTAGTGTTAATTGGCTTGGAGCTGGTATGAGCCTACCTGCACCACATACCTGCAGTCAGCGTCTCCATCTCTCCCCGGGCTATGACTGCTGAGGCCCCAGGTAAGGTAGTGACATCAGGGCCTGCCGCCTTGGGGCGGCAATTCCCAGTCCTCATTTGTCTGGAGAGTTTAAAAACTCAAGAGGTGCCATAAAAGGTCACAGAGGAACAGAGTGGATGGGGAGGTCACAACTCCTGGAAGTGGATACACACTGCCCAGAGAAACAGGGCAGGAAGTTCCAGCCAGCTCAGGGTACAACCCTGAGACCAAAGATTGTTTCCAGGGGCTATATATAACCAGGGGACCCTCTTGTACCCAGAGCCCTTAGTTATGCTCCTATTTGTTCTCCAGGCCTTCTACAAGGCTCAACCACCGTGTTATCTGAGCAGTTTATTCAACCTGAGGCACTCAGCTTATTTAAAAAGCAGACCATGCTGAGGAGAATTCTTAACCCAAGGAATTGTGGCACTAATCGTGAGTTTTAGGCACTATGCATCCACAGGCTCAGAGAGGAGCTGTCTTCCTGGTGTCCCTCAGATCTTACCATGTCGTGACTGTCTACCCCACCTTTGAGGTTGACCTGTAGTATCTTCTACCCAAGGCTTAGTGGTCACAGAGCCATAGAATCAAGAGAAGAGTCAGCCTGATGCCATCATCTGAAATGTTGTCTTTTCTCTTTTCCACAAAGGAGCACATCCTGATGAGAAATCAGAATTTAGTGGGGCTCAAACTTCCAGACCTTAGTGAAGCCGCTGAGCAAGAAAAAGGTAGGTGCGGTGGAGGGGGTAGATGCTCCCCTCGGGCCAGGGCTGGAGTCGTTGGTGCTGAATCAAGGAAGGTAAACATGTAAGCACTAGCTTCCTGACAGCAGTCCTTGTCCACACCAGTAGTTAGTGTGCGCTGGACACAGAGGGGACCCTCAGTGAATATTCGCTGATGAAACAATGGTCTGGGAGGGTCACCCAAGCCTGAACTTCTGACACTTCCTTTTCATTTTCCGCTCACACCCAGGAAGCCACCCTAATATATCAGTTCCTCTTTTAAAAGGCATCAGAGTCATCTCTTGCTTTCTAATCTGCTGCCACCCCAAAGTCCAAACCCCAGCCCTTCCCTCCCAGGCGACTTCTAGTCCCCACCCCACCCCCAAACCTCCAGGCTTTCCACGACTCCATCCCCATCCATTCTGTCAGACTTGTCTTCTGAAAACAAGACGTTCAACCTCTCTCCCTTTCCCCTTATGCTGCCCTCATCTCCTTGCTTACCTCTCCTGATGTTCTTGGTAGAGTGTAAACCTCCTTGACCTGCCACTGATCCAGCCCTGCTTCCCAATGCCCCCAGCATCTTTCCTTGGCACCATTTTTCAGCGTATGTGTGTTGAACATCACTGGGAGCCGGAACTGTGAAGCCTGCTGTCCAGCTTCAGTCCCCATTCTGCTAGTGACCCACCATCTGACCTGGACAAGCTACTTAACCTTTTGATGCCCCCCCTACATCAAAAATGGGGCTAATAATAGTACCTACTTCCTAGGGTTATCATGAGGATTAAATGGATTAAATGGGTTAATATTACCTATAACAGTGCCTGGTACACACAGTAAGTGTGGTCTAGATGTTAGCTAGGATCCCAGGTGGCACAATGGTTAAAGCACTCAGCTGCTAACTGAAAGGTTGGCAGTTTGAACCCACAAGTTGCTCCTTGGGAGAAAAGACCTGGTGATCTGCTCCCATAAAGATTAGAGCCTAGGAAAACCTATGGGGAAGTTTTACTCTGTCCTATAGGGTCACTATGAGTCAGAACTGACACACAAGTGTTAGCTATTATTATCCCTAGAAGTCAAGGATCTTTGTGTGTGTGTGTATGTGTGTGTGTCTTCATCCCAAAGTTCTTATAACAGTACCTGGCACCATTAGGCCCCGAATAAACATTTGTCAAATAAAAAAATGAAGGAAGATGTGGCAGGGAAGTTGAAATAGGCACACAAAATAAATTCTATGACTATAACCAGAAGTGCCATGGAGCACTGAGCAATGGGCACTGAGCAATGAGTATTTCCAACTGCCAGGCTCCTGCCTACCCTTCCCTCTTCTCCAGACCCTCCTCCCTGTGTCTGCTCACCCGCTTGCCTCTATGCCTTTGTTCATGTCATGTCTCCCTCCTGATGTGCCATCCCCTCTCCTCTCTGAATCCTATCATACGTGTGCCTCAAGCAGCAGGTAAGTCCCACTAGCTCTCCTCCTTCCCTATTCTATTGCATTTGATTGCCTATATCCTACTTCTTTTGATCTAATTATAAAAAATAAATTTTCTATAGCATTTTACATAGTACAGTCATGCACTGCATAATGTCCATTTGGGCAGTGTCTGACTACATATATGTCTGTGGTCCCATAAGGTCATAATAGAGTTCAGAAATCCCTACCCAAGAATGGGATGTAGCAGATGTAACTGGACATAGCAAATGCAGCAGCTTCCGGATTGTGCTGCCAGGTATATGATGTTATAGTACATATATAACCTATAATACATGTGTCTTGAGAGTCATAATAAATGCCTATGTTACTGGCTTATGTATGTACTGTACTGTACTTTCTACCATTATTTTAATGTGAACTTCCCTTACTTACAAATAAAAAGTTTACTGTACAACAGTGTATGCTTTGACTCATAGGCAGCAGCATCCAGTCTGGTGTATCGCATGTCTCTTGAGTGTTATAGCGTTATCTCTCTGCTTAATTTTCTTTCAAAAATATTACCACGAAGTGCATCATGGCTCCCCAACACAGCAAAACCAGTACTAGTGAAACAAAAGGTTATCAACGCGAAGGTAGAAAATCATTGAGTGCTATTGCTCAAAATTTAGACATGTCACACTCGACAATCATGATGATCCTCAAAAACAAAGAGAAAATTTTCCAAGCTGTGAAAGGATTGGCTCCATTGAAAGCTACAAGGCTAACAAAAAACATGAGAGGGACCTATATCAGATGTGGAGAAATTGCTAATGATGTGGATTGAGGACCAAACACAAAAGTGAATCCCTTTCAGCACGTTGACAGTCACTGCTAAGGCACAAAGCTTGTTCAGGATGCTTAAAGAAAAATCAGGACCAGACTACGATATGGTGTTTGTACAACATCCAAATCACATAACATCCTATTTCACAGAACATATTGTGGACATTAAGCAATGCATCACTGAATAGTCACTTTACACTCCTAATTTAATCTAATCCCTCCAGTAACTAAGCGAGGTAAATATTCTTGTTCTCATCTTGCAGTTGAGGAAACTGAGGCCCAAATATCTCCTGACTCCATATCTCATGTTTTTTCCATCACACGGGTAGTTTTGAAACCTTTTTTTTAGCTGCACAATATTTTATACAAACTAATCTGCAGAATGCCAATATGTGGGGGAAAGTGGGACTGCTCTGGCTGAAGGGAGTAGGAGGGCTTGGCTGTGCACCCCTAGGCCCCCTCTCTTTTCACTTGTAGCCTTGAGGCACCTCGATGGATCCCAGCTTCACAGAGTACCCTTAGAAAACCCTTGTCCTACATTATGTTGCCCATGGTCAGTCTCAGCATAAAAGCCTTCTGGTTATGGATTGTTCTATAGTGTGTCCAGGGTGTCACCAATGCCATTTGAAGCCCTGGTTGGAAATACAGTAACTAACACTCCCTCTCCAAGCAGATCACCAGATGTAAAATTTTGACCAAATTTTAAAAAGCACCAAATTAAAAAGGAAAGTGAACTCTCTTTAGAGAAAATCTTTTGAAAATATATACATCTCTGCTTTTTAACTTTAATTTGCTTATTAAAGCATATTAAAAACACTAGGAAAAACTTAAAATTTCACCCACAACCCCATAAATTCTGAAAAAGCAACAATTTTCATTCTTTCCAATATTTTGCCGATATTTATAATTTTTCACAATTGATTTGATTGTATAGGTATCACTTCCTGTTTCTACTTTTTTACATAATCTGTTTAATAACTAATTCCATATATTTTGACTTGTCATAACATTTATCCTTTAATGGGTACATAATCTTTTGTTCTGATGTATCTATTGTTGGGTATTTCAGATGTTTATAGTTATTTTAACTATGATTAACAACTTTAAACAACTACTACTATAAACAACTTTGTACTTGCAGTTTTATTCTTTCTTCCTTCAAATTATTCCCTTGGAATAAATTCTCACACTTGAGATTCACTGGGTCAAAGTGTAGAAATATTTGCATTTACCAAATCACTACCGATTTATAATACTGCCTACGAAGACTAAGTGTATGTCTTTCTCCGAAGCATTACCAGCACTGGACCTTGCTTTGCTTTTGCTCCTTATTAGCCAAAATGTAGTAAGAACCAGATAATCAATTAACAACAACAACAATAATGTATTATTATCATTGTGAGTAATAATGTATGAAACAGTACTTCATTATTATTTCAATTAATTTGCTAACAAGCTCAACTTAAATTTTGAAAAACATTTATTTACTATTTTTATTATTGGGTCAGTTAGCTACTTGTTTCTTTGCCCATGTGTCCACTGAGTCTTGAGTTTTTTGTTAGTTTGTTTATTGTTGGTAATTTTTTTTTATACATTATAGATATTAATCTTTCATCTGCTATATTTTCTAAGTGCTTATTCTGGTTTTTTTTTTTTTTTTTTTGCTTTTTAACAAGTTTTTTGTTATTTCAGAGAAGTTGTAAAGTATTTATGTAATACTTTTTTGCCCATCTTTTCCTTTGAGATGTCTTCTATTATTTCAATTATTATAAAAATATTACTTCTCCTTAATTAGGATTACAAATCTATTTTCTACTAGTTTGTCTATAGTTTGATTTATTTATATTTATTTTGCTAATACCTTTGAAATTTATGTTAAGATACAGGTATTTTAAGATTTATTTTCAAAAAAACCAAAAACCAAACCCATTGCCATTGAGTCAATTCTGACGCATAGTGACCCAATAGGACAGAGTAGAACTGCTCCATAGAGTTTCCAAGGAGTGGCTGGTGGATTTGAACTGCTGATCCTTTTGATAAGCAGCCTGAGCTCTTAACCACTGCACCACCAGGTCTCTACTTCCTGTAATCTCAATAATATTTTAACAGTGTTTACATTTTTGTTATTTTGTGGTTTATATAATCATAGTTTACATTCTTTTTTTATATATACCAAAGAGTAGTTTTGGACTCTCGATTCTGTTTTATTCTGATGCATACTATACCGTTTTAATTGTTGCTGCCTTATCATATGTTCTAGTGTGCAGTGGGACTAGTTGTCCCTCATTGCTCTTCTTTTTCAGAGTATTTGTTAATATTCTAGATATGGAGATTTAGTGCAAAATAATGGAAAGAGCAATTGGACAAGAAGTCAGGAGATTTGAGTTCATGTCCCAGTCCAGATACCAATTAATAGAGTCTTTAAATATGTTCCTCAACCTCTCTGGGTCTCTGTTTCCTCTTGGACTAGATGACTTCATAAGTCTCATGTAACTCTAACCTTCAAAGATTCAAGGATTCCAGGTCCTTCCTGCCTCTTTTCTGCCTATTTCTCTAAATAAAATTTATACCACTTTGTACAATATTTTAATTGTGATTGCTCTAAAGCTACACATTGGATTTAGAAGAACTGTTCTCATTTTGTTTGTTTTTATAGTTCATAGACTTTTGAATTATTTAATTTATAAACATTTAGTTCTCATTCAGGCACATGATTTGTCCCTCTATTAATAAAGGTTTTCCTTTCTTTTTC